AAGAAAGAAAGAAAGAAAGAAAGAAAGAAAGAAAGAAAGAAAGAAAGGAAGGAAGAAAGAAAGAAAAGAAAAACAAATAGAAATTCTGGTGGAAAGAAAAAACAGAATCCTGGTGAAGCCACAGCTCTGTAACAATAAGGTCTCAAATTTATTTACTTTCATTTGATATGTGTTCTGAAGTGATCATCTTCAAGATTAAATATAGCTCATAAATTTATACTCTTAAGGCACACAACCTATTTCATATTAGTAAAGCAAGTTCCTGAGTTTATTTTTTTTTACAGAAAAAAATCATGCAATTTTAATGAATATATTATGGTTTATATGAGATGGGAGATGAAATGTAAAAAACTAGCAGTGCCTATGCCATCCAAAGAAGTGTCTGATCAGGTATTGTGGGACATAGCTGTCTGATCTGGTATTATGGGACACAGTTGTTATCTGAGCACTTATGAGGCTAAGGCAGGAGGCATTAAACATTCAGGCTAGATGATGCTAGATGAGTTCTTGTAAACTCAGAAATTCTGTACTGGAAAAACCTGTTTCTATTTATGATGTGGCTCAGCCCTAGTACACACCTTTAATCCAAGAGCTTTCTGTAAACCAGATTGAAGTTAACAATAAGTCAAGTGGCAGGGCAAGCAACCAGTTGACAGGGAGTGAACAGGAAAAAACCATACAGAGTGATAGGAAGTCCAGAGGGTGGATAGAGAGACACACAGGAAGTAGAAAGGAGGGACATGCAGTTTGAAGGGTTTTTAAGACTGTGGAGAAGGGGCTTTTTTTCTCTGGGATGTCAGCTGAGGAGGAAGGTCAGCTGGGTGCTTTATCTGCCTCTCTGAGCTAATAGATTTTCACCCCAGCATCTGGCTCCTGAGCCCTTACTGGTTAAGTCAAACATTGGGATTTTGTTTAAAGACAACACCCTGCTTCAAATATTGTTTTTAACTAAAAATTAAAGGAAAGAAAAAAGGGCCATGAATTTGAGAGAAAAAGAGAAAGCAAGAACAGTGTATAGAAAGTATTGGAGGGAGAAAAGGGAAGAGGCAAAATGATGCAATTGTATTTTAATTTCAAAAATGTTTATCAAAATTGAAAAAAAAGTAAGTTGTCCAAACTGAAAAGCATACGTGAGTATATCTAATGATCTGATTTTGTTAGAAAAAAAAATTTTTTTTTTCAGAATGATCAGATCCTTTCCATCTACTCATCTCTCTGGGGTAGCATTATTCATTCCCTTATGAAACAAGTGAAAATAAAACCAAGTAGACATCATTTACAAACATACAAAGACCGTTTCACTAGCCCTGGTGCTATTGATGTTGTACAAAGTCATTTTATACAAACTCCGTGGGAGCATTGACAACTCTCACTTCAAAGGAGTTCTTTGGGAAGTTCTAATGAATCACAAAATATTTGAACTGGTAAGAAGGATGCTGTTCAAAAAAGAAAAGCATTTGCAATTTGAACATTCTAACAGTACTCTTCATAGGTTTCCAGACAATAAATCATCTCGTAGGCTTTAGTGAAAGACTATATGATGCTCAGAAGGGATTAGTTGATGACATACAAACAAGAAAACGTTTAAGATTAGTGTTACCTGACTGCTATAAAACACAGTGGTTAGATCCTAGCAGAACTGTCTTCATTGAGCTAAATATAAATGTAGTCTTTCACAGATTTTTCAGAAGTTGATAAAATTAAACTTGCATGCTAAGAACAAATCTACTTCTATATTTGTTCTAAAGCTATCATGGAGGACATAGTACACACACTTTCTAAAATTTATAACAAGAGAAACTTTATATTTGCTCAGGAACTGATATACTTTCTCATTTTAAAAACTGGCATCACCAGGGTTATCTAGAAAATCAGAGCAGAAATCTATTATGCCAACTGTGCTAACCTTACAATTATCATGTACACTGACTCTTTATTTGGAATCCTGATCTGTCTCCTTTTGATGATAATTGATGAAAGTTAGTAGTTACATATATTGTTATAGACTACCTTAGAATTCTCTTGAAAGTAAAGAGTGTATAAATTAAGTTTTATTAAATTAAAACTTTTATTTGAAATTGTGGTTCAAAATTCACATGTTCTCTTTTCACAGGCCAGAATAAGAAATTATTTAAAATTTTCTAGCACAAGAGACAGAACAGGAAAGGACTGGGGTTTATTCATACTACCAAAGGAAACAAAGCTTTACTCTCCAAATGCCGTAACTCACAACCTGTTCTCTGAGTTTTTACCCAGAAATTTATAAAAAAGAACTGACTTTTAAAAGCATAGTTTAGCTGGGTGGTGGTGACACACACCTTTAATCCCTGTGCTTGGGGGAGAGGCAAGCAGATCTCTGAGTTCAAGGCCAGCATGGTCTACAAAGCTAGTCCAGGACAGCCAAAGCTACAAAGAGAAACCCTATCTCAAAAAAACAAAAACAAAAAGTAGTTTTAAGATCAGTTTCCATTCACAGACAAATCAATCGAGTGGAATTTTCATGGGTGTCACAGATTGCTGACCCCTCTCCCAACATATTAGTTAGTCTTGATGTAAGCAAAATACCACAAAGAATAACTTAAAGGAAAGAATATTTACTTTCAATCGTGGTTTGAGAGATTCCAGTCTAGGTCTTTGGCTCTATTGATTCTGCATTCTGCACCCATGGTGAGGCAGAGAGCCAGGAGTGCAATAACATATAGGAAAGGAAACTTGTTCAACTCAGAGTGCACAGGAGGGACCAAAGACCAGGCGTCCTCTTCACATGCATACCCCAGTGACCCGCTGCTTGCAGCGAGGCTGTACCTCCAAAAGTTCCCAGCACCTTTCAACGTAGTTTTAGCACTTGAGGAACAAGCAAATTCAAATTCAAGCATTTCAAATTCAAGCCATAATGCCCACAGTCAATACCCTATACTGTACCAGAGTGACACATTAGCTACGTGACACATCATTATCACTCAAAGCCCGTAGTTGACATGAGTCCATGATTGGCATTATATGTTGCATGGATGTAGACCAATATAAAATGACACGTAGTCTTTATTATGCTGTCACAGACAGTGGTGTCACTGCCCTAAAAGTCCTCTATGCTTCATCCAATCATCACTTAACCTCTACAAACCGCTAGTATGTCACTGTTTAGCAGAACTGGCTTTTTAGATGTGCTAATGTGTTGATTCTCCATCTGTGTCATGTTAGACTTTACCCCTACACGGAGATGATGTCAGACCACACAGGTGAAGCACCGTAGAGCCAGGCTACTTTAACAGGAACTGTAACCACCTTACCTGGAAGTGTGGTTGTCTGCACTTCCAGAGAAAACACACAGACTTAATAATGGATGTATTTTGTAATCCAAGATCATCCTTGTAAATATATCCGTTGTCCATTGTATAAACTCTTCCAACAAATTCCTTGTTCTTTCCCTTTCTCAGTATATCCAGCCTACCTGCTGGTTCACTCTTCATCTACTTGTGTTTCAATCCCTGTAATGCTATTGGTCATGGAAAGTGACACAAGATCATTGGGTAAGTGTCTTAGGCAAGGTTTCTATTGCTGTGAAGAGACTATGACCATGACAACTCTTATAATGGAAAATTGGGGCTGGCTTACAGTTCAGAGGTTCAGTTCATTATTGTCATGGCGGGAAGCATGGTGGCATGCAGGCAGACATGGTGCTGGAGAAGGAGCTGAGAGCTCTACGTATCAATCCTCAGGCAGCAAGAGGAAGAGTGAGGCTCTGGGCCTGGGTTGAGCTTCTGAAATCTCAAAGCCCACCCAGTGACACACATCCTTCAACAAGGCCATGCCTACTTCACTTAGGCCACACCTCCTAATAGTGCCACTTCCTGTGAGCCTACGAAGGCCATTTTCATTCAGAGCACCATGAGTGGTCAGGAGGGATGCGGTCATATTTCACTCATGGTGACAGCCTTTATTACATTTTATCAAAACGTCACAGAACCAAGAACATACAGGGTACAAAGAAGGTAGGTAGAGAAGGAGGAGGGACTAGAAGAGACTTCAAGGAAGACTAACATTTTGAGCAGAGATACTTAAATGCTTTGCATTTCATCCCCTCTTCACCAAAGAAAGTTTTACACAACACTGGACATACAAGGAATAAAATGCACACAAATCAAGTATTTATTGCTAGTAATAAAGATATAGTTTTAAAGTTATTTGCTATCATGTGGCCTTACTGTCTATTAAAGATGAAAGCAAACGTGCCTACTAATGAAATGGGCATTCTTATTTATTTTTACTAAAGATAGAGCAGTGTCTAGCATGACCTAGGTTCCGTCCCAAGCACAACCAAACGTTATATAAATGACAAAATAACCTTTCTCATAATTTCCTCTTGAGGGCATGGGGCACATCTAGAAATGCCTAAGTAAAGCTGGATTAAATAATTTGTTAGAAAAGACATTAATAATCTCTACTTATTGGCCTTTTCTCTGTGCTAAAGAAAAAAAATGTCTTAGGCATTTTATATTATAATTTTACAATAGACCCATAAGATAAGGGGCAAAAGTCTTATTTTAGTTGAGGAAACTGAAAGTCAGAAGTATTACACTGAAAAAGAAAAAAGAAGGAAGGAGGGAGGGTACAAAAGGGCAGGAAAACTGACATGCTGATGAGGTTATGAAGCATCTTTATTTTATCTTTGTTATACATACACATGATATAAAATACTCAAAAAGCCCTATTGGTTTCATTATTTTTAAAAAATATATTTATTTATTTATATGGTGTTCTGCCTGCATGTGTGCATGCACACCAGAAGGGGGCACCAGATCTCACTATAGATGGTTGTGAGTCACCGTGTGGTTGCTGGGAATTGAACTCAGGACCTTTGGAAGAACAGCCAGTGCTCTTAACCTCTGAGCCATCTCTCCACCCCTGGTCTTATTGTTTTTAAAAAAGAATTTCTGCCCTTTTCTGCAAACCCATCTCCTCTCCTTCAGAGGTATATGTTTACACACATGTATGAATAACATGTTTATAGTACAACTTTATGAGCTTTCAGTTTGCGGCAAATATTTTCTACAGTGTAAAACATGTATTGGGCTATTTATTTGCATCTATCAACAAGTTTAAATTAATTCATTGTATTATTCTATTAAACTGTATGAAACATAATATGTATTATCATATTAAACAGTGGTCTAGAAATGGGGTGACTCTAATATATTGTTTGAACTTGTGTTTTTATTTGTTAATCTTGACCATGGAATTGTTTTCTTGCTCAGCTGTGAAGGACGTCCAGAAACAACAAGCATTGTCACATCTTCTTCAATGGATCCGCTTTCTAATCTTTGAAAATACTTTGGAGCCTTCAGTTACATTGCAAACGCTCCAGCTGAGCAAAGATGAAGATCTGGTCATTTCTGACACTTACCAGAGAGAGGGACTGATGCCAAACTTAAGTCTACCAGGTTAAGTAGCCAAAATTTTACATTGTCAAATAACTTATTGTGGGCATTTTTGACAAAGGGCCATTAGGGCTCATGGCCTGGGGAAGCTTCCATGGATATGACTATGGAAGTAGGAGGATGGAAAGTACATGGCCTGACTTTGAAGAGTGTGCCCAGAGACGAACATCCATTGGCTGGCTTAGAAATGGTGTGGAGGAATATGATTGGTCCCCCAAAGCCATATAACCTGCTGTTTCTTCCTGAATAAATGAGTCTGCAGCTGCTCACCCCTGGTTTGCTCTCACCCAACTCCCAGTGTTCGTGTGGTGACTCCGCCCTGTTCACCCCATTGGCCTGAACCTCCTTCCCTCATCCGCAGGCTGGACGATCAGGAGGAGGAGCAACAATTTATAACTAAAAAGCTCTTCCATTTATTTGTTCTTGGTACCCTAAGATATAAGAACATATCTATAGTATAAGCTGATGCCATCTCTACTTTATGAATTAACTGAATTTTCAGCTGGTGCATGCCTTTAACCCTGGCACTTTGGAGGCAAAGGCAGGCAGATCTCTATGATTCTGAGGCCAGCCTGGTATAGCAAGACCTTGTCAACAAAGAGAAGAAGAGGAGCATGAGGAGGAGGGTGATAAGGAAGAGGAAGAAGAAAAGATGAAGAAAAACGGATGAAAAGGAAGTGAAAATGGCACCCACCTATAAACCCAGCGCTCAGGGAGGCAGAGGCAGGTGGATCACTGTGAGTTCGAGGCCAGCCTGGTCTACAAAGTGAGTCCAGGACAGCCAGGGCTACACAAAGAAACCTACAAAAAAAAAAAAAAAAAAAAGGGCAAAAAGGGAAAATCTCAATTTTTATTCTATCTTACAAAGCCAATACTGGTTATAAAGTATGAGATCATTAGAAATCAGAGTATTCATCCTTTCCCACACCATCCAAATTTATCATTTTCACTTTATGATGCTAAAATAATTTGAACATCACACTCTCTCCTAGCTTATTTATTCCATCCCTACAAGAATCCACGGTCTAATAGAGGAGATAGATATGAAAGAAAACACAGTGCAGTTTAATGAGGCTTCCATAAATTTGGCCTCCTTTGTGGACAAGAGTCCCAGGGAGCCCAATAAACTGAATGAGACTATCTTCCATTTTTCTGTGAATTCCAAGGTATTTGTTGTTCCTAGCAAACCAGTAGCTAGGAAATAGGAGAACCTTGGCTTTGGATAGTATTACAGCAGATGGTGAACACGATGTTTTCCCCATGAGAACAAAACGGGAGATAAAGCTCTAAAGCTGGTGAACCAGTAAGTTTCAGATCGGGGAAAGATGTGGTGGTTGAAGACTTGTGGGTCCATGTTATGGTCTAATATCCTGCTCACGTATAGCAGATTTCTCTGTTACAGAACAGAATAAGAAAACCCCCAACAAAGCGCTCAGTCACCCCTGCCACTGAGTCAGAGGTAGCATACGGGTACAAAAGAGAGAGGGTTTCAGATACCGATTTCATTAGCATCTAGTTGGAAAGGGAAGGTTATCTGAAACAGAAGGCAATCAAACTTCCCTTATCATCTGTCTTAGTTAGGGTTTCTATTGCTGTGAAGAGACACCATGGCCACAGCAACTCTTATAAATGCAAACATTTAATTGGGGCTGGTGTACAGTTCAGAGACTTAGTCCAGGGGACTGGAGAAATGGCTCAGCAGTTAAGAGCACTGGCTGTTCTTTCAGAGGACCCAGGTTCAGTTCCCAGCACCTACACAATTTGTACTTCTAGGGAATCTGATGCCCTCTTCTAGTCTCCAGGGGCACTGCACTGCATGCATATGGTACACAGACATACATCAGACAAAACATCCATGTACATAAAATGAAAAAATTACAGTCTCAGAGGCTTAGTCCGTTATCATCATGATGGGAAACATGGCAGCGGACAGGCTTGCATGGTGCTGGAGTCAGAGCCGAGAGCTCTACATCTTGATGTGAAGTCAACAGAAGGAAAGTATCCCACTCAGAGCTCACCCCACAGTGACACACTTCTGCTACACACAAGACCATGCCTATTCCAACAATATGGCCACACTTCCTAATAGTGCCACTCCCTATGGGCCTATGGGGGCCAATTACATTCAAATGACCACACCATCCTATCCTTGTCTGTGATCCTAAGATCTAGAAAATAATGAATCCCACAGATCCCGCAACTTACACCGTTTTCTTCTATTAGGAGAGAAGGAAGGAAGGAAGGAAAAGGGAATAGAGACTCAAGGATACAAATTCATATAGGGTTGGGGACATAGTGTAGAGGTAAGAGTGCATGCCTAGCATGCATGAGGCCCCTGGGTTTCATCCCCAGCACAGGAAAGAAAATTATGTATCACTCCAAACTCCGTTCAAAGAAAATGTCTGAGGAAATACTTTAGTCAGAGCACAAATAAATAACTAGATCCCCGAAATGGGGAAGAATAAGAAGAGGCAGAAAAACCAGTAGGTGGTGTACTATTCTCTTTGCTCTGTTTTCCCTTCTTGCCCACTGTGTATGCATACATATATTGCAAAAAGATAAGGTTTAAACTATTGGAATGTACAAAAGTAAAAAATGATAGAGATATTCTATAATAACTATGTTAATAAGTTTAAAAAGGAACCTACTCTTAAGAGAAATAATAAATACCAACCTATCTCACCACAGGAGGGTATCTCCAGGCTGGAAGAGCAGCAGATGTAGAAAAGGGGGTTAAAGACTTCTGACAGAATATTGAGTTACAGAAGGCTGGGGAGTGGCTGGTTCCTGATTTGCCATGTAACTGGGGTAGGTAGGCGAAGAGAAAACAGCGTGGCTTAGGCTAAGCAGTAGGTCTGGGTTGGGGAAAAGTGTGACGCCTGTTGAGCATCTGTGATGTAAAAATCTTAAAACTTAGAGACTGCCATGGTGCTTGAAATCTGTGTAAATATTCCTGAGTTTGAAAAACTCATCTAAGGCACCTCCAGTTCCAAGCATCACAGATAAAGAGGAGTGAACCTGTCTCTTATTTTCAGAAAATAACAGAACTGCATCCGTGTCCAGGTAAGAAAAAGAGAACCACTGATGGACTGAAAGAGAAAACATTAAACGCAAACTAACAAAATTGGAAATAAATAACAAAAAGAGACTAAAGAGTGCATTCACCTCTAAAACACAGCAGGCCTGTAGACGTACGGTGGTTACTCAGTAAGAAAAAAAAAAAAAAAGCCTGTTTCTTTCATTCCCTAGTCATTTGTCTAGTAAAATGTACTAGAGCAGTGTTCCTCAATCATCCTGATGCTATGACCCTTTAATACAGTCCTTGATGTTGTGGTGACCCCAACTATAAGTTTATTTTCGTTGCCACCTCATAACTGTAGTTTTGCTACTGGCTGTGGGCTGTTATGTTAGTATCTGTGTTTTCTGGTGGTCTAATGTGAAGGGGTCTTTTGATAACCCCCTGGGGTCAAGATCCACAGGGTGAGAACTGCTAAACACAATTCTATCTCAATGGCTGTTGCCAACATTCGAGAGGAATGTCCTATTTTATGGCTATCACATGAGAACCTGACATCTATAAATTGCAAAAACAGGTCAAAACTTTGAAATAGCAGCTTTACAGTCTTTCACAAGATTTTTCCTCTAGAAACTATTCAACCTAACATTAATCTTTTTCTTACAGTGTGATACCAGAACAGTGGTCCTAAAAACTCTTGCCAAAGAAGTCTCGCGAATCAAATCGCTATTCAAAGTACAGGCTGAGCAAACGCTCTGGCTTCTGCTGAGTAACACTCTGAGGTTGGGCAAATTTACTTCTCAACTATTAGTGTTAAGCAAAAAGGCAAATAGTTTACTTACTTCACTAAGTATTTATAATGTGCAAAGCTTTAAGGAACAATGTCTCCTCACGCCAGTAAAGAGAAGGAAACAAACTTAAAGCAATGTTGGTAGTTATAAGTATATTGATTAACGTGTTCAATCAATTTCTTGTGCATGGCTAGGCATTGTTCTGCTGGCTTACAATATAATACATCTGTGAATAAAATGCAAACACTCAAGCCCTTGGGGAATTGATACTTAAAAGAAAGAAGGCACAGAAAGATACAACATCGAGTCCGATATTATGATAAAAAGTGGTAAATGTCACAGAAAAAGAGAAAGAGCAATTTCTAAGGATTTCTGAGTGATGGGGAAGGCATAGCCAGGAGCTTACAGTTTAACTGGTGTGGCCAAGGTTGAGCTGAAGAAGGAACAAAGTCTAAGCAACTACAGGAAGGGGAGAGAGTCCACCAAGCTGCTACATAGGGAGGGCGCGTGCATGTCAGAGAGGAGAGTTTCTAGAGAAGAGGTCCTAAATCTGTTGTATGCCTGGGTATTGAAAACAGTAAGTGGTGAAAAGCAGGGTGAATAATATGATGAGATCAGAAGGACCCCAGTGTGTACCCAAGTTCCAGTGAGGCCATTACACGAGAGTCACTGCAGAGTCTGAGCCACACAGTGCCTGATTTTACTGGCATTTATGAAGACAGCTTTGGCTTTTAAGTGGAGGGTAGATGAGACAGGAGCAGAGATGACAGCAAGAACACATTTTAGGTGGCACTGAATTGATACAGGCAGAAGGCATAAGTGAATTTTTCTCTTCATACATGTGACATAAATAATTTAAAAGTTCATGACTATTGATGTGGTTTTGTTTTTTTCTACTGTTCTTTCATATCGAAAGCAGCAGCATTGTAAAGAAACATATTGGTTCACATTTTGTAGTACGCCACATCGAGAAAAAGGGAACTTGACATGAACTAGAGGAAGTTATGGTGTAGATCCAGGAAGCAGGGAAGTTAGACGATGGGGTGTTTCAGGAAGCCTGAGTTGGGAGTCTATACACAGGGTGTGAGCGTGCTCCTGGCACAGGGTGTTTTCCTCATGCTGTCTGCTCTCCAGAACGACTTTCTTCCAAACATGCCCAGGAACATTTTCTTCTCTCTCTCTCTCTCTCTCTCTCTCTCTCTCTCTCTCTCTCTCTATCTATCTCTCTCTCCCTCTCTCTTGTCTGCATGGGATGGAGGCTTGGAGGTTGGGGTGGAGGGAGGGTTTCTCTGTGTATCTGTTGTTGTTCTAGAACTCACTCTCTAGACCGGGCTGGCCTCAGACTCATGGAGTTCCATCTGCCTCTGTCTCTTGAGTGCTGGCATTAAAGATGTGCCACCATGCCCTTTTCTGCACAGTTGTTCTGACCTCCACTCCAACATTACCCTTCAGAAAGATGGAAGCTTCCTTCCCCGGCCAAAACAGCTGCTTTCTTTAACTTCTGTCCTGCTTTATTATTTTCTTTAGGCACATAAAACAGTACCTAAAATTATATACTTGCGGACATATTTTTCATTGTCTTTCTGTCCTCTGAGGCTGTAACTTTGTTAACCTGCTTATTCGTCACTTAGAACAATGCTTAGCACAAAACGATCACTCAGATTTTATAACTGAACTAAAGCGGACACCTACAAGGCTAAGAAGTGACTATGGAAAGGTAGCTGGGGGGAGGGGTGTGCTACCACTCAGTGCTATAACAGCTGCTTAGCACATATGAGGCTCTAGATTTGATCCCCAGAAACAAAAACAACACAAAAAAATTGAAAAGAAAGATGGGGGGAAGGATGGAGAGTATAAAATAAAACTGAGAGGTAACCTGGAATCCAGGATGAAAACACTGCCTGGACATAAGTTTTTGCCCTGGTGACTAAAGAGTGGCCTCTGTGACTGAATGAGCAGAAGTGTGGCTCCAGACTGGTGTTGCTATCTGGAATTACCTTTGGTGCAACTGAAACTGGAAAAGGAATAAACTGATCCAATTTAAGAAAATGTTTTGCCAAGTCCAGTGGCACACACCTGTAATCCCAGCACTGGGGAGGCAGAGGCAGGCAGATCTCTGTGAGTCTGAGGCCAGCCTGGTCTGCAAAGCAAGTCTAGAGCAGCCAAGGCTACACAGAGAAAGCCTGTCTCAAAAAAGAAAAAAAAAAAAAAAAAGAAAGAAAGAAAGAGAGAGAGAGAGTGAGAGCAAACAAGGCTCCATGTATACTGTGGAGTTTTCTGCACATAAGAGCCACCATTTACAAATAGACCATGTGATGGTGATATAAAGCTCTCCAGGCAAATAGCATCACCAAAATAAGAGTAAACTCTGTTATTCCAGACAAACATTTCTCTAATAATTCATTAACCTAAGTTCAAATACAGTACAGGACAACAGCAGAAAATTGAGTTTAAGAATACTAAAAATATTTCCTACTCTTTCTATTACCAGGCTTTCTGCCACCCACCCCTCCCATCTGTAAGCTTCCGCTACCACTTGGCCAAAAATAGATGTATTCTTTTCCTATGTTGAATTCAGGACAAGAAAAAATATAAATATTAAATATTTGAGAATCTGTTTTTATGTAAACACAAGTTACCTTATTAGATCTGGTTAGTAAGAAGTTTCTATATGGAGAAGATCTAGATGTCAGGATTGATTCCAACATACTCCTTTATTATTATTACTAGCAGTTGGGGTGTTCGTAAAAGTAACTTTTATTCTCCTGAAATATTGCTGTCTCCAAGGCTTTCTGCCTCCATTTGCTAAAATAGGCCTAGTCCTGGAAGCTTTTAGCCTCTGTACAATCTAACCTAGCCTAGAATGTTTTCAGCCTCTGAGACATACTTCTAAATAAGCTTACTCTTTCTATTTCTTTCTGGACCCTTGTCTGGCTGGTACCACTCAACTGTTCTGGCTCAAACTCCTCTCCAAGCTGACTGATTCAAACCGGCTTCTCTCAGCTTCGACTGAACTGCTCTACTTGACCTCATATGAACTTTGGCAATATGTTCTAATCTCCTGGGTCCTTCTCATTCTCTGGCTCTTTCTGTTTTCATCTGTGTCTGACTTGTTCCTTCTCTGCAACTTGTCTCTGTAAAACTGCCTCCTTCCCCCACTCTCTTTCCCTCTGACCTGCTCTCTTTTAAGTCACCTCTCTTTCCTCCCTGTTCTTGCAAAAGTTGGGCATATCCTATTCTGTCAAATCTTCCTCTGATTCATCACTTTGTCTCTCAATTAGACACCAGTTTTAAACATGGATACTTCCTTCTACAAACTCACTTTACCTTCATTGTTTGGGATTAAAGGTGTGTACTAAGGGCATGTCTGCATTCCAGCCAGATCACACAGACCTAGAAGGTCTTTGGATGTGATCAGAGCAGCCACGTTGCTGGATTAAATCTCTACAGGTTAATATTTTTAAATGTATTTATTTTTATTTTATGTGCATTGGTGTTTTGCCTGCATGATTGTATGCATGAGAACATCAAATCACTTGAATCTGTATTATAGACGGTTATGAGCTGCCATGTGGATGCCGGGAATTAAACTCCAGTCCTCCAGAAGAGCAGCCAGTGCTCTCAACCACTGAGCCATCTCTCCAGCCAATCCTATTAATACTTTTGAGATACAGTTTCATGCAGCTCAGAAATACCTTGATCTTTCTGTGCAGCCAAGATCAACTCAAACTCCTGATCCTCCTGCCTGTCACTCTCAAATGCTGGGACGACAGGTGTGTGCCGCTATGTCTTTCGCCTCCTCTATTTTTAAATGATTGTTGTGGTCAAGTATGTTAGATGTCACAAGTGATTCTGGGAGCTAGGGAGATGGCCCAGTCACAACAGTCAGGACAGGAGTTCAGTCCTCAGCCACTACGTAAACCTGGTGCTGGGACATAGACTGTAGTCCATCCCTATGGAGATGGAGAAGGGTGTTCCCTAGGGCTGACCAGCCTGTCTAGCTGAATTGCTGGCTTCCATCCACTGAGAGACTTCTCTCAAAAAATAAGGTAGAGAGCAATTGAGGAAAATACCCAGTGTCAAGCTGTGGGCCCATCCACATACACACCCATACATATACATGCAACACACACAGAGACCCAAAAACAAATAAAAATTATGTAAAAATACGTATTAACAAAGGCGGTAGGATTAAGCTTATTTTTAAATTATATCTAAAATAACTTTACCTGTGTATTTTTTCTTCCTTTTTGAGGCCCTTTTTGACTGCCTTTATTGTAAGAAGGTAAAAACAGTTGTGGTGGGGGTTTTTGTTTTGTTTTAAGACAGGAAGTTGTAACACAAGCTGGCCTTGAATTTATTATGTAGCCAATGATGACTTCAAGCATCTGATACTCCTAGTTCCACCTCCCCAATACTGAGATTACAAGTGTGCACTGCCACACTTGGTTCAGCATATATGTGTGTGCGTGTATGTATGTATGTATGTATGTATGTATGTATGTATGTATGTATGT